GCTTTTGACATCGCGGTTTTAGCGCCGCGGTTTTGTCGGCGCGCTTATGATGTTCGCGCTCTTGTCGGGTCACGAAAAAGTTAACTGTACTCACGCGGAGGAAGCCTAAAAGGCCGTTAAGTTGGTTTAAACAAGGTTCAAATTGCCCCCATTAAAAATCATATTGGCATGGGCCACCCGTTGGTAACCACTGGTCTAAAGATAGTAAACTTAATTCAATGTCTTTGATATACGTTTGACGTGAATATGTATTGTCTCCTGGTTTTATTTCCCCCCCTCGTACATCAGATTTTTCTCTTGTTCTCGTAACAATTGGGCCACTCCATCTGAGCTGCCATCTATCAGTTGTCTGGATTTTGTCAACCAAATATAGTGGCCCTTCGTAAGAGTAAGCACATAAAACATGATCCCAGAACGGCAAGTCCATGCCAGCTCATGTGTCATGCAATCCTCTGACCATGCTTTGTGATTATTATTTTTTTTGCTCGGTTTTCCAACGCTTTTTGCAAAAACCATCCATTGGGAGGAAATGGATTTGGGAATTGAAGTCCATCTGTCTGCAAACTCCCCAGGGATAATCCCAAAGAGGCTTTTTCAAAAGTCATCTAGTCTTTCTTTGTTTTTTTTTTCTTGAAGATGTTTTGCTTCTCACCCAAGAAGCTTTTTCAGTTGTGACTCATCCAAGAAGCATCTTCAGTCAGAACAGAAGAAGCCTCTTGGATGAGAAATGAAACATCTTTAAGGAACAACAAAATAAAAAGTCCAGTTGCCTTTTGAAAAAGCACCTTTGGGTCAACTATGACTTGGATGATGATGATGAGAATCTCCAAAGACATTCCCCATGGGGAGATCCCCCACTTTAGGCTTTGTCATCATAACTCAGGCTCTTTGGGAATGATGTCCCATGTTCTTCACTGACTGCATCAATTGTAGTGGAGTATCTGAGATAATTTCAGAAGAGATTGGACAATGTAAAAAGAGATTTGCCTGAAATGGTATAGACCAGCCTCCTGCTTGAGTAGTGGGTCGGACTAGAAGACCTCCAAGGTCCCTTTCAACTCTGTTGCTCTGTTATTCCGTTATAATTTTCCTTTTCTATTATGGTCTTCAGAGAAAGTCCGCAGGGAAATAGAAGATAAGTTGGATCCCACCCAGTCAGTCTGCTATCAAGATCGGGTGAAGCTCCCATATACCTGTGCTGTGATTCATGAGATCCTCCGTTTGAAATATGTCTTAATTGTTGGTGTCCCCAGGCAAAGTGCCAGAGATGTGGACCTCAATGGATATCACATTCCAAAGGTACGGAAGTTGATACAAGAACAATTAACATACCAGAGGACCCTTCCTTTAGTAAGGGATTTAGCTCAATGGAGACATTGAAACCCTTATTATTATTTTAAACTGAACATCAAGACATTCATGTATTCAATGCAAGCAATGATTCAATTTCTGGGAAACACAAAACATTTGGCCTGTGTTTTTCCCCAGTAACTTGAAAAAAGTGTATTGCAGTTTAAGCAGCACAATTTTTCAATCATATACTCTGACATTTTAGTGATCAATAGCAATAGCAGTAGACTTATAGCAATAGCAGTAGACTTATATACCGCTTCATAGGCCTTTCAGGCCTCTCTAAGCGGTTTTACAGAGAGTCAGCATATTGCCCCCAACAATCTGGGTCCTCAGGCTAATTGCCCCCAATAGCAGTAGACTTATATACCGCTTCATAGGCCTTTCAGGCCTCTCTAAGCGGTTTTACAGAGAGTCAGCATATTGCCCCCAACAATCTGGGTCCTCAGGGAATGAGGGCTCCTTGGTGCTCTCTGAGCTTGCTTGCTTGACTAG